GTGTGTGTGAGTGTGTGTGCCGGCATTTAAACGTAACAGATACTTGAGCTCTGACAGCTACCATGCAAAATGTCAGGCCGTGCGGGCAAGTCAAGCCTCGTGTTATGCACAGCTATGCAGGCCTTCCATGAATGAATGAGTGAGTGAATACACACACCCACACACACACGCATGCACACGTTTAGATACTACGTTAGCGTGTGTGCTGCAAGCCAACAGCAACAACAATGGAGCAAGCAGAAGTGCAACAAAATGCATGAATAAACAACAACTCAATTTGAATGGGGCAACAGCAACAGCTCAACAACAAGAAATAGAAGAAGAAGACGAAGAGCGGGAGCGGGAGCGAGAGCGAGAGAGAGTGAGAGAATGAGAGGGAGAGCGAGTAAAGCTTGCAAAAGTCATAGCGGTATTTCATCAGGCTTTTTGAAGCAGTTTCGAATAAATCCGCAAAATCTACTACTACAATATATGTATATATGTATATGTGTATGCATCCTTGCAGCGAACACAAATGCAGTTTTTTTTTTCACCAATTTCAAATTAAGGCAAAACCAAAAACATTTATTTGTATAAACCAAAGCACGCCCCGAAAAAGAGTGGAAAAACATGTGCTCTACATGCGATTGCAGTTAGCAAAATTTATTTGCGTGCAGCTTAAACAATGGGTTGTAGGCTCCCAAGGGAATGTGTGCAGTTCCAAAACAGTTGGATTGTTTGTATATGTTTATGTATAACAGATAATTACATATATAATTTGCTCAAAATAAAAACAAGTCAAAAGCAGAAATATAATATTCTCTGATGCCATTTTTCATTATAAATCAAAGAATTTTAGATCTTTAACTTATATATGTATATAAAGTTCTTATTGAAATAATATACGAAAACAATTTTTTTTATTTATTTGAAAACATAGCAAAAAGTTAATCAAATTGGGACTAACAAAAAATTATGATCTAATTTTATACTTATGTATATATACTATATACCCACAGACAAATTGAAGAGAATTATTAATAATATGTATTTATAATTTGTAATTTGGCTCAACCAAAGTGGCTTATATCTTAAGCCACAGTGTCTTAGAGAAATAAATCTGATTCGGTTTTATCGTTGGGGTTCAATAGTTATTTTCAAAAAATATTTATGCTTGTATTTACCGTAAAAGTAAATATGGAAACATCACAATTATATGTAATATTCCCAACGAATTATTTGTAAAACCTATATTATAAACTGAATATTTGCATATGAATTCATTTTTAGCTCACATTTAATATGTAAATGTAATTCCCAATTTCAAAATAAGGTGGACAAGACTTCAAAACCTATTGACCCCAACCAAATCAATCCCTAGACATATGAATGAGTATTCCAATATTTTATTATTACTTGAATGTAAATGAAAGAGACATAAAAATAAATATAAGTTGTTTTTTTTTTTAGAAATTTAAAACAGGGCAAAATATAAAATTAAATAAATAAATCGATTATTTCAAAGTTGAACTAGTCTTGCCATCAAATTGCTCATAGTTGCTCAGAGATCAAAACTTCTATGATCCAGATCAAGAACAACTACCTCCAATGATGTCGAAGAGAGCGTGTTCTATTATAGGTTATGACAGTACAGACAACTTGATATCTCTCGAATGTCTGATGCATCATCTACATACATGGATACATACCTCATTACATTCAAACTATATTTCGAAGCAAAGGTATCTCTCTGTTGTTAGGCTAACTAACTCTAAACTCACATAGAAAAGAAAGACTAAATCTATTAGAAAATACATTTCAGCATAACACACTGTGCAATGGATTATATCCAGTTTGTCGTTATTTCTATTCTATTCTAGATATAAATATGCATGCTATATATAAAGTTTTCCTTTTTTATGCTCTTATCAAATTGATTCGCTGAGTTTCGCTTATTTGCAGAGCAGACAAATGCAAATGAAATTGCGAAAGCACTTTGCAAGCATAGAGAGAGACGAGTGAGGGGAGAGACGGGAAGGGCGAGAAGGAATAGCGTAGGAGTGATGAATGGCGGGACAACAAGAACAATAAGTATATAGCTAGAGTAGTTAAACAAACTCAAAATTTACAAATACAAAGACGCTTCACACGTACACACACACACCCACGGCAAAGGCAGAAAGAGTTTGAGTGAATTGGAAGTGGGTAGGGCAGAGAGGGATAGGGAAGAGGCGGCCACCTGACGGGGTTGCCCTTCGGTGGATTGCAACAGAAATGACAAACGTACTTTTGATAGACTTGTTGACGACAAGCTCTGGCACTTGGCAGCTGTCAGCTACAGCCAGAGCGAACGACGTAACTGTGTGCGTGCGTGTATGTGTGTGTGCGCGTGTGTCTGTCTGCCTGTTTGTGTGTGCGTGTTGGCGCCTGCTTGTTAGCATGGCCAAGCGACTATGTGTGAGTATGAGTGTATTTGTGTACTACATGTGCGAGTAACGGACCAGCGAACCAAGACCTAAACTGAGCCACATTTTTGTTACATTACTTTTTTTTGCATTAATATATAATGGGCGAAAATCAATACAAATGATTGCTAGCCAATGCTGCAAACATGTTTTGCGGTTCAATTTTGGTAATTGCAATTAAATGTACGTTGCAATTAAATCATTTTGTTTATTATGCCCTACCACAACACCAACTACAACAACAACAAAATCAAGCAACAACAACTATTTAAGTTACAAAAGCAACTGTAGGCTATCCGCTATTGCACTCACTGATTTGTTAGTTGGCTGGTTTGTTTTGTTTTTGTATATTTACGCGCGCGTAGGAGTGAGACGAGATGACGAATTTTTAACGTGTTTTTGTACTTGGCGACTTGCGCGTCAAATTTCGACAACACGACCAACTCGCAGTAGCGACTTTTACGTACTAACCTAACGTCTTCACTTACGTACCGCGCTTTGGCCAGCTGAAGCCGAAGTGAGTTTTAGCCGAGCCGAAGCCCGAACGCGCCGAAAGCGAAACCATAGCGTAGGGTAGATAGAGTGGAAGAAATGAACACAGCTAGCATAAGAAATAATGAAAAATAAACTTGAAATTATTATAAAAGTGTAAAAATAAAATTAAATATAATATAAAATAATAACTAGATAAAATAATATATTAAAACATGAAATATGTATTTTACTATTTATTTATTTAGTGTGTGTAAATAATTTAAAAACTTAGCAATCCAGTCCATTTAACGTAGAAACACTTATTAAATTGCTGCTCTTCGAAACAAATACAATTTCAAAATCAAATGGATTTAAGGACCGGTATGTTACGTTTGTTAGTGTTGGCCAACACTGCATTTTGTTGGTCAGCCGTACGATAGCACTATCGATAACAATGAGTAGTATTTGTGGTATTTTTCAGTAGTTGTTTGCATAGTTCGCTTTTGTTGCGCGTTTCATTCAGTAGTGAACATTGTGAAATTCTTTCATAAACTAAGAAATAATATGATTTTTGGCACTTAACCCTGACAAAAATTATGCCTGTGTAATGCTAGAAAATATTTCCTTGTGTGTCATCAAAATCGAAATCGATTTGGAAACCAACGCAGGTAAATGACCTAAATTGAGCTACGAAAACAGAGACAAAGATTTTACGTCGTTGCTTTTGTTTCTTGCTTTTTTTTTTGTTTTTCACGCAGACCAAGAAGGCGCTGTCTCTGCGGAGCACCCAACTAATCCGCGTGTGCAAAAGGAACGTGAACGCGACCGCGGACTACGCCAGGCACACGAAATCATCATTGAAACATATACAAACCTTCGTTGGATTAAAGAAACAAACGCAGCGAAGGAATTAAAGAAAATGAATTGGGCCGCTGCACTGCAGCAGCATACCAACAGTCCAACGGCAGGCAGCTCTCGGGAGACGACGCCCCGTGGCGGTGGCGAAGAGACGCAAGGGACGGCCTCCAACTTTCCACAAGAGCTGGGCTACTTCTCTGGCAACCCCATTGTGGAGGTCACCAAAGGCATAATACATCTCTACAAGAAAAAGTGCGTAGCAAAAAATAGCCCAAATGCATAACTAACTGTTATGTTTATTCCATTTGACAGCGAACGCAAAGCCATTAAGGAGGCGCCTTCAAATCAGCTCTGCCTCCTCGCCGTACCTTCCACACTCAACTGCCACGATTTGCTGACCTTCATAGCGCCCTGTCATGCGGAGATTAAACACGTGCGCATCGTGCGCGATGGCAGTCCAAATCAGTTTATGGTGCTGCTGGAGTAAGTGAATCAATTAGGATCACTTGTGTAAAGTCAATATGTTATCTAATTAATCTGCTTCAGGTTTCGCTCAAATGAATCTGCCTTAGAATTCTACAACTCTTACAATGGCTTAGCCTACAACTCCCTGGAGCCTGATTCCATCTGTCACGCCGTTTGGGTGTCAGAGGTCGAGCGTGGAGAACATGGTTTGCCACCTCTTGGTCACACTGAACTGCCCACTTGTCCCGTTTGCTTGGAGCGCATGGACGAGAGCGTTGATGGCGTCTTGACGATTCTTTGCAATCATGCTTTCCACGCCAGCTGTCTGATGAAGTGGGGAGATTCCACTTGCCCGGTGTGCCGTCACGTGCAGACCCCGGAGCTCGTCGAAGATTCGGTTTGCATGGAGTGCGAAGGCACAGATTCGCTGTGGATATGCTTAATCTGTGGACATGTGGGCTGCGGTAGATATCAAGGCGGACATGCCGCGGCGCACTATCGCGCCACCAATCACACTTTTGCAATGCAGCTGGGGACATCGAGCGTTTGGGATTACGCTGGCGACAACTTCGTGCATCGCCTGTTCCAAAATAAATCGGACGGCAAACTTGTTGCCTCGCAAACGGAGAAGGATGAGCGCGAAGAGAAGATCGACTCGATGCAAATGGAGTTTACCTACCTGTTAACCTCACAGCTTGACACGCAACGCAAGTACTACGAGGAGCGCATGGAGCGCCTGGAAAAGGAGTGGGAGGAATTTCAGAGCAATGCCAACGCGGCCAACTCAGAGATAGGCGAGCTGCAGCAGATGCACCAGAGCTTGCTGAAGGAGAAGCAGAGTCTGGAACGAAAACTTGCCCAACAGGCAAACAAGTAAGTCAATGTCAAATAGATACATCTCGCCTGAGACTCATAACTCTTCTCGGCTCACAGGCTCAAAGAGATGCAAAAGCAACTGACTGAGGAACGGGAACTGTCCAAGGCCCTGCAGGACAATCAAACATCCTGGCACATGAAATACAAAAACCTGGAACAGCAATACAATGAATTTAAGCACAACCATGACAAGGAGGTCACAGATCTCAAGGAGCAGCTGCGCGATGTTATGTTCTTTCTGGACACTCAAGAGAAGATGGCCAACACCGAAATGTCGGGCGCCTCCATAACAGGTGTCACCGAAAAGGAGCCTGCCACCACGTCTCGGCGCGCCAATCGTCGCAAGAAGTAGAATTACGCATGAATTAACGTTTAGCTTCAGCATTCAAAAAGTTCGAAGATTCAAATGTAATAGTAATACATTCAAACCGGCAACCCGCTTGATAAAGAACTCGAAGAATCAATAGAAATGTATTCGAAACTAACTTGCATAATATATTGAATCAGAATCGAAACTGAAGCTTAAGTGTCGCCTAATACAAAACAAACTCTATATGTGATTTTCTAAGTGAAACAAAAAGCTAAAGAATAATATAGTATCTATAAATATCTATATACATCTGTCTATCTGTATGTTTAAAAGCTTATGTACTTAACATGCAAGACTATTCTACTTGTAGAGATTTATATCATCTGAATGTGAGTTTATATTTAATAAAAATTACTTAAATAAGGCTCACTCTTAACAAACTGGTATATTTAGCTAGGTGATTGTTACTATTCAGGTAATAATGAATTGATATAGCTTTATGTTTACCTATATGAGGATATTGGGAAAACTACTTTTATTTTCTATTATAGAAATTTAGCTCTTCATTTATTTTCCGTCTTCCTGATATATTGTTGATCAAATCAATTTGTTACAGTTAGTTGGTTTTGCTTCCGATTGAAGCCATTAAACTAGTACTCTTTTTCCAAAAAACTTATGGCTGACTCTTGAATTATATATTTCGGTATTCTCTAAAGACTTAGTTATTGAGACAGTTCTAAATGAGGCTTGGCGTATTTCCAATTTTAACAAATTCATTTCAATACAAATTTACTGCTTGGGGCACTCGTTGTCGCAGCGATAGGTCGGATCGGGAAGTTCCTTAACCTGGCCCTCCTCGTGGTCCTGGAAGAGGTCCAGCTTCTCCTTCACCTCATGCTCGTTGCGCTCCACATTCATCAGGTAGCCGGCTATGAAGCCGTACATATCCTGAGGCATGTGGATGTGCAGCTGAGCAAAAGCGCTCACCAAGATCTTGCCCATCTTCTCCTTTAGCTCCTTGGTGGCGGCATCGACTGCCTCCATATTCTTTCCCTGGGGCAGCCAATCGTAGTCCTTGAGGCAGCAGCACTCGCAGTGGACATTCGGATCCGATTCCCTCAAGAGCTTAAAGAAAGGCTGCAGCTGAGTCTCGCAGTGTTTTAGGTTTGCCACCTCCTTCACGAACCGTTTGTGCATCTCGCAAACATCCCGCTCACAGCGCTGCACAACCGTCCGGTCCTGCGACAAGGTGGCCGTGCGTTTTATGTAATCCACAGTGTTCTCGTGGAATGCCTTGAACTTGCACTTCTCCTCATTGTAGGCCTGCATACATTGCCTGGCATACATGATGATGTTGTCTCGGCGTTTGCGTATCTCCTCCGAGCGCTTGGAATAGAAATGCTTAACCTCATCCAGATTGATGAGCCGCTTGGTGAGCTCTGCTTGCTCCTCGTCAGGCTCACATAATCGAGGCCTTACTGATTTCTCCATCATCTTCTTCTTAACTTCCTCGCACGTTGCATTTTCCTTCTCAATCTTTCGCAGCTCCTCGTTCAGCTCGATCTGCAAGTTCCTCAACTCCGTGTTCAAACGCTTCACATCCTGATCACTGCAGATCAGCGTGTTCAACATTTCCCGCAAGCAATTCTTATGGGGATTGGGCAACTCATCGCCACAACCGTCCAGCATTTTCTCTTTCTCTTTCGTATTTTTTCTTATATACTACATAAAATATATTTGATTTATTTCGTATTTGGAAATATCAAATGATTTTAGCTGTGATTTGAATAGAAATAATTAAAAAGTATGTTATATATGATTGTATTATGATATGGACTATGTGATATACTAACTCTCAACTTTCAGGGATGATTTATAAATGAAAGTCGACTTTAATTATAGAAAAATTTATCAAAATATCCGCTTTACGTACTCGGAGAGATCCATTGCATTCTTAGAAATTGTTGAGTTTTTAGTAGGAAATTAATAAAAATAACTTATATAAGTATATGTACTTGAATACAAACACATATGTACCGTTTCATTCATATTAATAAAATATATATTTTATTTAATATTCAAACTGGTTTGACCCGAAATCGGCACTTATATTTTATATCGTTAAATCAGTAAATATTTTGAAAGCACAATACAAGTATAACCATCTATCTAACACTTTTTAATAGCTTTGGACCCCCTTCTTCTGGTTCCTCTGTCTCTTCTTCTAGCTAACATCAGCTGACATTCAATCAATCATTTATTTTACTTTATTATTATTTTCACTGCCCCTAAAGAGGGTATCATAGTTTGCTTATTAAGTATGTGGCGCTTGGGAATACCCTTTTACATTTCAATATAAATAATGTAGAAGGGATGCATTACTAATCGATGAAATTTTATTTACATATATTCTTAGCCAGCCAGCCCGTGTTTCAAAATTGATCCGCATGTAGGAGCACATCTTTTAAGACCCGTTGTTTTAATGCCTCAAAGAACTCTTTTTTTGTATTTACATAAAACTGCTGTATTGGTGTTATGTTTACCTGATTTGCTGTCCAACGATCTTTTCTCACTTAAGTTAATCTTTTATATTTACACCTTTTGTATTTTCTACTTATATTTATACCTATTTACTTTACCTGGCTCTACTAAATCGGGCACTTTATATTTATTTATTTATTATATTTTTGACTATATAACTATAATCAAACTGAAAGCAAAAATCTTCGAAACACCGAGTTCTATCCAAAACCCATAAATTCAAGATTTCTGATTAAATTTATGTGTTTTGGAACGGTGACTCTACAATTTCAAGTTTTAATCAGCTATGCAACCATTCATAAAAAATTTGTGCACTGAAACGATTCCATTACAATAAATTCTATGCAGAGTATTTTATTTTGGGGTTTCATTCATTCTTTATTTTTCATATACTAACATGATTTTAGCTGTCGATTGCTCATTTTGTTTACAAGCTCAACTCTTTTTTACCCATTGGAACGCTCCTCTCTCCGCCTGCCTTTGATCGCAAATGAACCCGTCAAAAATTAATTTTGGCACAAGTTAACCAGTTTTATGTGAGGTCAGTCAGGTCTATTGGCAGCTATTAAGCCGGCTCTGTAATTAAGTAAATTAATTAAATTTGAACACAGCAAAATGGTTTTTGATTCGCAAGTTTTGTCTATTTTTGCATACTTATTATAAAATTGTTTATTCGCTTTTATTTTGCCAATTTTTTCGCATAATTTTGTATAATTTTTGCATAATTTATTAAACGCTTGCTAATTAATTTTATATATTTGGATGATGCATTTTTTTTTTTATTTTTATTGTTATCTCTGGTTGTCACCGAGCTTGATTGATTTTGTTCGACGACTGTGGAATGTTTGCACATGGCAAACAAAAAAAGTATAAAAACCATTCGAAAGCGTTTGCAAAACCGTTAAATATTTTCTTAAACTGTATAGCAGGCTATAATTAATATTATTAGGCTGCCTTTTTAGCAATCAATTAACCGTCTTCAAACGTTATCAATCTGCAAATTTGGACGAAAACAAAGGTGGGAGACCCAAATCTGAATGATCTTGAAAGAAATGTTAGGCTGAAGTGACTATCTACAGCCCACAGCCGTGACCACCTGCAGGAATGCCGTCAAAATGTC